TTAAAGGTGTTATAATATGTTCCAGTACATTTTCTACCAGAAAAACGGGTACATCATCAGATCCACAGGAATTTTTGTTCTTTAGTTTGGTTTAAATAAGTTCATAGACTTCATCTCTTGAATAACGTTTCAAAAACAACAAATTTTGTTGCCTTCTTCTGTTTGATTTATGCTCATTTTGGTTGGTTTTTAGAATAATATTTAAAATATTCAGTGGTTCTTGTATGAAAAAGTTATAGAAAAGATTAACTATTCAACAAATTGATTATTTTCTTTAATTTTGACATTTTTCATTTATTTTCTTTTATTTGAAATTTCTGAAATAACGTCCCACGCCGCCTTTGTGGCATTACACGATTCACTAATTTTCCTCTGATAGATTTTTTTCAACATTTTAAATGAGGTTTTTCTTAGATAATTTATACACTTCAGACAACTCAGGGTAACTAGTTTTTAAAATATATATATCTTTCAGATATTGGCTGGATATCCTTATTTCGTTATTAACCCACAATTTCGCATGATATTTATTGTAATATTTTTTTTTAATGGGAAGAAGGTGTTTGAAATGATGAAGAAAAATGTCATTGAAATGAGAGAATGCCTCATTGACATACTTAACTTCATATAGATTTTCACATTGCTCATCATTTCCCAAAACATTCTTGAAATTATATACTGCCGTATCATTAAAATGTCTTTTCCATACTGATTATTTTTCCGTTGGAATCTCGATGTTTGGAACGAGCTGACAAAAACTGAACGATGATCGGATATTGAATTATCGAATACACCTGGGTAGCAGGGTAGATCAAAATTTGGGAAAACGTGGTCAATAGTCTTAATTGTGTTATTTGTTATTCGCGCAGGTCATGTAATTTGACTTCTGTCAACTATAGTAATAAAAAATTATTAAAAATTAGCGGAATAGGGCAACGATATATAAAAACGAAAAAACTTACACTAGTGAGCGAAAGTACACTTTCGGCAAAAACTACACTAGGTATATCATAAACCGTGAAGAGTGGATAATGAACAGGTTATTTGGAAAAATGATTCAAACAACAATAGTAGATCTTTATATTTCCTTCAACTTTCATATTCAACTTTTTCTATTGTAGGACTTGTTTCAGTCTAAATCACGAAAAACCATATTTCACTCCCGAAACTCTCCCCATTTCATCCCCCGTATCTTAGATCGACTTCACTTCATTTTTCTTTATATAGTAAACTGGTAAGCACAATATTTTCTACCATTCATAACAATTTTTATACTGCTATTTTTTAGGTTTCTGCGTTGGTTCAAGTTGATAAAATTGTATTGTAGTATAACTTACTTGACTGAATATTTGATAAACTTACCTAAAATTTTGTGAATGATTAGAATACAATTTAAAAAACTCTTTAGGTATGAGTATTCCGTCCTATTGAATGCATTCACTTCATAATGATAAACAAGAAAAACAACTAATCAACAAACACTTATATAAATCGCGTTATATAATTTGCAAAAAATAACTTGCATTCACTGATAAGTGTTTGAATATATCTTGAATTAGCAAATGCGTTGCATCGCATTTAATAACAGGTGTTAGGTACAATCTCTTGGAATTTCAAAAGTAATGGCATCGCCGTGTGAAGATATATCGAATGGGTTTGAATGGGAAAGTTTTGAATCGTAGCCCAAGGCTTTTTTCAGACCTCACCTTGATGTCCTTGAACTTACTTCTCGACACAAATCGGTCTCAATAAATTTATAGAATGTTTTTAATAAATACTTTGAAGAATTACGAGAACTGCACACCAAGACCCAACCAGATATACGCACAAAGCAATAGATAACAAAAAAATAAAAATATTAATTAAATTCGAAAGTATATATGAATTGATGTCAATATACAAGAGCTATTTGAAATATAATCTAAGCATAGAAAACTTGGAAACATTATGACAAAGTTGTCTTTTTCGGATATGATACTAAAAAATCGAGTCTGGATCTTTTGGTTCCGAAGATATACGGGAAAAACCGAAAAGAACAAATTCTATTTTTTGCCGAATCTTTTGTATCTATCACAATATGCACAAATGATTTTTATACATGGTGCGGTTCGATTTGAGCCATCCTCAATTTTTGAATTTTGAATATGGATCAGAACTTTTTCTAGCACTTTTTTATCGACAATGTTCATATAATATTGAGAAACTGAGTTGGCTTCGATATTCCTGGAAGTTCAATTGCTTTTATGACTACCTGGAAAATATTTTTTTCTATCACAGTTCTGGTAATCACTCAAAAGAAAACAATACGTATTCTATGTATCACCACAGATTTACAAAAACTTTTTTAACGATCCATTCTCTTTACAATAAAGTTCAAGAATTTCAAGAAAAATTTGAGTATTTATTTCGGGCCTATTTTGAGCTTTGCGCTGTTCAATGAACTATGTATTGGCTATGAAGTCTTGCGGAAGTCAATCATAATAATTATTTAAGACGTATAAGAAAAATGAAATTAACCTCAGCCTGTATATGAATTTATTTTTTCGAATTCGAAACTCAAAATTCCGACAAAGTCTTTTTTTTGTAGATTTTGAAGAAGTAAAATTAGTACTCTCATTTTGGTGAACTTTACGAACTTTGTAGAAGATTCAAAGCTACAGGGTTCAAAGCTACAGGGTTCAGATATCAGGTACAGGTATTTGGAGCCAAATATATTTAATTTATAGAGTCGATGATTTTTTTGAAAATCAGCTATGGTACATTTTGCAAAATCTTTGAATTTCTTCTATTCAAACAATGACTAGACCTGAAAATGATATAATTCAATAGATATCGTTCGATAGTATCGAAAATAGCCAACTTTGTCACAATTTAACCAATGTTATCTAACTCTTGCCGAAAGCTCTGTATACATATTTTTGTTTTATAAGGGCGAATATATGAACGTTAATTATCCTTCTGATACTTGGAAACATCTGTTTTGAATTTTTTTGTTTTCCATCTTCACCATTTCATCAAAAAGTATTACGAAAAACTATCAAAACAGTATATCTTCCACCAGTTGATTCTTGTTGGAAAAATTGAATTATTTCCAAAACAAGACAGATAACGATACAGACGTTTGAAAAATATATAATTTATTGGAAAGAGATATAGTTTGACGCCGACACAGCTCAAGCAGGTACTGCTGGAATGTCTATTTCCCTAGTTACTGTAATTATACCTTGTTCCGTGCTAGAAATCGAACATTAAACAGTGAGACCTCGATAATCCTCAACTCACACAACTTTCAACTTCTGAGGATTGTCGTTCGTAAGAGGGCTGTAGGAAAACAAAAATTTTCAAACAAATTCCTAGAAAAGGAAATTCTAGAATATATAATATGTAGTGTCACTATCAAAGTCGGCAACATGGATTTTTTTTAATATTATTAATAGTCTCAATAAATTGGACTTGAGCGTTGGATTATGTTTAGAACAAAAATTATACACTGTGCTTAAAACAAAAAAACACACTTGTCAACAGTCTGTAATGGCAAATTTGATTTTATTTCGAAAAAAACTCAAAAATGTCATTGTTCTCATGATTACGGAAAGGCATTTGAAAAAGTTGTTTCTTTTACAATTTCATGACCATTTTTGAAAAATGATGAAGTCAGTTTAACTTTGGTCCGGACTTGTTTTTTTTTAAACGATTTTCTACAGAGCCATTTTGTTTAAATAACATTGTGAAATTGATGGAAGGTCTCACGCTGTTGATGTGTTTCAGGAAGGCGTCTAGTTCAGTATTCCATATATGAAGTTCCATATTATGAAGGTGTCGTCAACATATCTCAACCATACTCGAGGTTTCTTGTGGGCTTCTTCAATGGCTAGAGTCAACATATATATGGAGTGGTTTGAAACTCTAGCCATTCAACATTTTCTCTCCAGAATTAACGTAGAAACTAACCCGCATGAATAAGTAGATATGAGCTGATTATATCGATGTGTTTCTTAATTTTTATGTCATTTATCAAGATTGGCAAAAAAAAGTTTTTTATGTATTGATGAAATTTGGTATACGATTATGAAAATTTGAAAGAAACAACTTTCTCAAATGGCTATTTTCAAAATTATGCGGAAATATCACATATTTTTATTTTTTAGAAAAAAAGTCGCAATTTTACAGGTATTGAGTAACAGTAAGTGACGGAGTTTGTGTTATTTTTGGTCTAATTGAAAGCAAAAACCGATTTCATGTAGGTCTATAAATAAAGAAAAAATGTCATGACGACTTCAATGGTGACGCTGTTAATATGCTGATTTTTTATTGACCTCTAGCAGCGTCACTTGGTTTGTACTCATCAGCTCTGTGAATGAAATGCTGAAATGTATTGGATCTCTCCATTATTATTAATTAAAATGCCGTCAGTCGAGAGTTTTGACAAAATAGTTTACATGGGAATGCGGTAGAAGTGATCACAACAGGGATATTTTATGTCCCTTTATCATCAAGATCAGTCTAGATGCAATAAACACTAGGCCAAGATAAAATCATCACTCAATCTCTGAATGGATCACGTTCGTTCCAGTTCTTAGCAGCCTGGAAAAATTTCATTTCAAGCGTTTTCCAACATTTTACTAAAGACGATGGAATAGACGAATTTTCCTAGATTTCAACACCAATAAGTTGCAAGACTTGACGGCACCACACCAATTCATCTCAGAATGTCCCACCAATCTTTCTCAGAATGTGTTCACCTGTCATTTGTGAATTGTTTCATTCAGGCAATGGGTATTCCCTCTTAACTGGAAAACAACTAGAGTCCAACTATGACGAACATTGCTGAAAGCAGTAGATATCTTTAAAAAATTAGCCAGATACAGGTATTAGCACACCAAACTATCTACCTGAGGAAGAAACTCCAAAAATCCACGACCTTCAAACCAGAAGAATATTCACCGTATAACATGTTTGTAGAGTACATTCTTAATTATAAAAAATAATAAAGTTCTTACTTTGTCTGTGATAAGGGTCTTATTATCCACTTTGGATGTTCGTCTTCTTCAATTATCTGAAATGAAAAAAAAAATATATTAAGCGGTTGCCTTATTAACTGTTTATCAACAAAAGGTTCATTACTGTCCAGTAATATTACAAAAGAAGTTTTTATGCGAAATGTTTCAGATTTGTTGTTTGAAAGTTGCTTGATGACGTTACGGCACAAAATGCATGATCCAAATTCCAACAGGATGTGAAAACGAATTGTCGTAGAAGGTTTGTGCATAATAAAAAAATACTTGAAGTTGTACTAAAATTTGCTCATTGTCCAAGAGGTATGGATTAATAAATTGATTTATTTATTCAACGGCAAATCCAATTTACAAAAACATATTTAACAAAGTGTGATGTACTAAAAAGTATTTTTGAATACTCAAATCTGATGTCTACATTACAATCCTTAAGTCTAGTGACTACATTACTAAAAGATGAAACAATTCTGATACTTACAAGAAAAAAGATGTAACAAATCTGGTACTTACAAAGAAAATGGTAAGATAAAGAAAAGCTTCGAAAACGGTATAGCCTTTTCAATTGATTTTTAAAGACCTGAAGTGATACATTAAACATATCTTAGTTATTATGATACCTATTGATTTCCCAGCTTCAGAATACGAGGAATTGGTATCGGAAAAATTTATATGAAAAATGTCAGGATTTCTCGTATCTTTTTGTTTGATATAAAAAGTTATTAGTTGAATTAGTTGTGGGTAGTTTATCTCACTATTTATTAATTTGAAGAGGAAACTCAAGTTCATAGAACTTCTCCTATCTTTCAATGATTTCATATTTAACATGGTTAAGAGTTGACTGTACTCATATTCATTTCGTTGAATACCAAAGTGAAAAGCACAATTCCTTGAAAATTTCTTTCGAACATTCTCAATCAAATCGATATCTACATTATAGTATGGGTCCCATATAACCGAACATTATTCAAGTATGGATCTTACGAAAGCACAATATAAAATCTTTTTTGTTTTAATTGAAAAATCAGTAGAAATTCTCAACACAAAACCCAGCATTTTGAGACTTTTTGCCACAATTTCTGATACTTGAAGATTAAAATTAATTTCGCTATCAAATTTAACTCCCAGATCGCGAATAAATGTTTCTCTTTTAAGAGCTATATTATTCAATGTATATATAAGGACGTAATGATTTGACACTTATTAATGTTTACCTCTAACAAATTATTTCTACACCACATGGAAAAGGCGTCGAGATCTTTTTGAACTAATTCAGCATCTTCGCGGCAAGTAATTCTGTTTAAAATCTGTTGCTCGATAAAGTTTGAGATCATCAGCTTACATAAGAAATTCTGAATATTTGAAAACAAACTATATGTCTGATACAAACATGCAGCCCACAGCAGTGGGCCCATATGGGATCCCTGCGGTTCCTTGATGGAACCTGAATGGGCGTAGATGTCAACCTGTAGCCTCCTCTCAAGATTTTCAGTTATGTAGTTTGTGTAAAGAGCAAGGTTGGTACAAGTGGATTTACCTTCTAAGAAACAGTGTTGTTGGGAATTGAGTAAAGACTCACAGTCCCAGGAAAGTTTCTTTGTAAGCATAGAATCAGACATCTTAGCCATCTCTAACTGATTGCAAACTGCTCTATAATTCCTAATATTTTTCTTATCTCCTAGTTTATGTATTGGTTTGAGGAAGCTAAGTTTCCAATAATCTGGAAAGATGCTTAGAGAAAAAATTTGATTGAAGATGTTTCGTAATGGGATTACTAAATTGTATAGACATTATTTGTGTATAAAAAGTAAAGATATACCATCAGGTCCTATTGTGAGCTTAGGTGAAACAGAGATACTGTATATTGAAATAATTGGAAAAGTAACGGATTTCGATATGATTAAGTCAGCCTAATTGTTGATCTATCAGGGCGCATTGACAAAAAACAACACGTAAAAATCTGCGTCAGGAACGGAAGTCGGAGCTTAAAATTACGCTATTTCCAAGAGAAGTGGTTTGTACTTCCACTATGTTTGTCTGATAACAGGGATTTAATAACTGTTCAATTTTGTTGTAATACTTTCAAAATGAATAAAAAATATTGCATTTTTGAATACGTTGATCGTTTTGATTTGATTTGCCCAGTTTAACCGACAAGCTGGCAGAACTCACAGATAATAAATATAGTTTATAAAACTAAAAAACCCGCTTTTGAAGAAAATCGAACTAAAAAGTTAAAAATATTTTTTTTGAATGAGCTTCAGACAATAAGGATCGAAAAATACTAGTATTGTTGTGAAAAAAGCGTGGGCGCTTGATATACAGTAAATATGGCAGGAAGCGCCCACGTTTTTTTCACAATAATACTAGTATTTTTCGATCCAAATAAAAAAATTTTTTTTAACTTTTTAGTTCGATGTTCTTTAAAAGCGTGTTTTTTAGTTTTTTTTAACTATATTTATTATTTTGATTTTCTTTTGAACAACCTATCAAGGAGATTACGTACAGCGCCATCTGGCCGCGAATAGATTAAGCAAAAATGTCGATATATCAAGGAACTTACGTACAGCGCCATCTGGCCGCGAATAGATTAAGCAAAAATGTCGATAACTCTGTCAAATACAGATCCCAAGCTTGAGAGTTACAAATAAACATACATACATACAGGTGAATCTAATATAAAGCGTGTAAAAAAATACAAGAAGATAAGAGATAGATTCCGATGGACTAAATTTCAAGCCACACTTTTCACTCATTAGGACGCAGAAAACAAAAACAGAAAAGTTGATTAACTCATTTTTGACTTTTTGCACGGCGTTGTTGAGAAAAAGGATTTATGATAGATGTCAAAATATTGTGAATATATACTAAGTAACTAGTGGACGGCTTTGCAAGTTGGCGTAGTAAACAGTTTTTAGTTATAAACTTCTCATAAAGCAGCAGATTTATTTTTTTTTCGCATGTACAACGTAAATAATATTTCGTATATTGTTTCAAGTTAGTTTGTACATACATTTCTGATTAAATAGTGTATGTTCTACATTTCAATATTTAACTTTATTAATATTTGAAATTTGAATAGTACTAAATATGTACTTACACTTTTTAATAGTCATCATATAAACTTCAGCAACGCAAAAAGGATACTAGCCATGTCAAGTTATCCCATAAAAAAGGATAAGTTTACAATAATTTTTATAAATCTAAAAATGAGTACCAGTGTTCGAAACATCATTATGAATGAAATGTGATGAGTCCCCATCGATCCCAGTTTTATCATGAAAAAAGATAAGATGAAAATTGTAGTTCATGTATTCATCTAAGAAAATTGCCTTTACATTTTTTTTAACCTAAACTCGCCATTTCTGAGATAGAACGATTCAAAAAGCTACAAACAGCTGTGTTCTTCATAATATACATATACTCCGTGTACATACATCACTGGAGCTGGCAAGAGTCGTTTATCTACTCTTTTTTCGAAGGCTCAATAAACGAAATAGTATTAGTTTCAAATTTTACGAAAACACGTCTTTATTTTTGAACTAATTTGTGTGCTGTTCTTAATTTTCAAAAGTAGCAGTTTTATTTCATTCTTAGTAAATTTTAAAAGGAAAAATAAATTGTTACTGTTGATGATGGCACGAAGACATTACTTGATGCAAGTACTGAAAAAGCTGATGAATTTTCGGCATACCTGAAGAACTAGACATCTGTGACAATTCATACGCAATGTCGTTAAAAGTACACTATGCTCTGTCAATCTAAGCAACAGAGTGCTCCAAAACATTATCATGCATAGTGCACGTGACTTCCCAGACAAGGCTACTTGTTCAAAGTCGCGCTAAGGAACAACCGATTTTTTTAATAGTATGCGTCTGGGTATAGGAATTTTTTTAGGTGGAGTGTAGGGGCACAAATTAGCAGTTTCTTCAGCCGTATCACTACTTGACATTTTTAATAATTTCAAACTTTAAAATACCGTATATGTACACACCACAGGTGTTGAAACGTAACTGATCACTCCGACACTGTAACAATGAATTCTGCCAGCCGATTGCCGTTAAATCTGATTAGCCAACGTAAGGAGGCAATAGATGCAAATGTTCGTGGTGATCATGCTTTGATCACGCATCTATCTTTTTTGGGTTGCTTTGTTTCTTAGATGGATATAGTTTAGAAATAGTTGCTGCAGCTAAAAGACAACACGAAGAAGAAGCTAGTAAGTACATCTGAAATGAGTACTCTCCGTACTATAGAGCACACGTAAGTGAGTCGGCATTTTGTTCTCAATAATATTACTTATTTTGCCGCAGTGAGGCAAATGAAGAACATGAAGAAAACAACATTGGATTAACGCCGTGAAATCATAGATTGAATTTTAATATTATTTACTAGCTGCTGAGGTTAAGTATCATAATGACTTGAAGACAATTCTTACAATGGGGAAATATTTACATACATACAAAATAGCGATGACTCTCAGTTTACATTAAACTAATTAAAAAGTATTTGCAAATTAGGATACGATTAAAGCTGAGGTTTGTCAATGAAATTATTATTATTGAAACAATAACAAGAGTATGTTTTACGGACAATCAACATAAAATTTTGAGTTAAACTTTTAGAGAACGATTTAGGATCCTGGAAACGACGGAAGCAATCATCTGAGAAGATATTCTTAAGTATTCGATAATCCTAATTACCCCCCAACTAGTCCACCAGGCCATTCAGTGCATTTCTTTAATGTCCCTCCCCCCTTTTATTTTCTAAACGGGTCAACTCAAAAAATTAAAATTTGGGATAATGAAATTAATGCATGAATTCTTTATTTTAAAGTGAGATTGACACATGAAACTTTCAAGATGGCGACTGGGCGCCATCTGGGAAAAAAATTAATAGAAAGAGGGGTCTTGAAGCTCTTGATGAATACTTCACAACCCCAGAATATGAAGTCAATATCTTCACATACTACAAAATAGCGGAACATTTGATAATTTCCTGAAGACAAACACATTAATATCGATATTTCTAGAAATATTCCATT